CTATATTAAAAACTAAAATTTATTTGTTTGTAAGCTTAAAATAGATTTTTATTAACCATATATTATTAAAAATGCATTAATAAATAAAATACAGAACTGGGAATGGTAATTTATGGTTTAGCCTAGTGACAAGTAGATTAGGAGACAAGTAAATTCGACTTACGTTGTTTTCCTGGAACCAATTACCGACGTAAGGTGAGGTATATCTGTGTATAACAGTTAAAATCTATATAATTTTTTTTTCTTATCAAACTTGTGAAAAACTGTTTTTTCTTGTATAATTTTAATTCCTTACTAGTCAACAGAAGCACCTTTATCCATTGTATATTTAAGAAAAATCTGTTATCTTTTATAATTAACAATGATTTTCTCTTGTTATTCAGCTTCATTAAATAGATTTCTCATTGTATAATGTATAAATCTTTTATATATATATATATATTACCCAGCCTTATGACAGAAGCTATATATATATATATAGCTTCTGTCATAAGGCTGGGTAACAATTTAAAGACTTAATTTTCAGTTTGATGATAAATAATATAAGTTGTCTTCTTTCTAATATTCTATTTCTAGATAACTTTCTTGATAATTTAATTTAGATTTATTTCTGTAATTTAAGTTACTTTTAACTAAGTTGTAATTGTTACTTTAAAAATTATTTCTAAGTTTAAATCTTAAGCTAAAATTATAGACACCAAACAACCTTGATTTGGTCCAGAAAACAGATATAATTCATCAAAAATGAATGTTTTTGATCTCCTAAGATCTGCTTCAGATATAATACATATTCCAAAATGGAGGTTAATACAGTGTCATTGTCAGCTTTGAAAATTTCAAGCATTTCTAATTACCCATATTAACTTTAAAGAAGAAAAATATATTTCTCATGCTTGGCAAGCACATTATGATACAGCATTATAATTTAATTACACATGCACACCTATTGGTTGTTTCAAATTTAATTCATTACTCTGTTCTTTTGACTATTCCATTTTGAAATTTATGGGCCAAAATAAGGCCTGCCATGCATGGACCATGCATGCAGAGTGGAGACATCCCATTGGTTAAAATTTGAATTCAAATTTATATGAATATTTTCTTCAATGTGTTCCATCTCTGAAAATCATGGCAATTTCATCAACTTGAAGCAGTCTTAGAAGTAGACTGAAAACATTTATTTTGTATTAATTTTTACACCATTCTGCTGGAAGAAATATATGGCTATTGTGTTCATTATTTTATTTACTTTCCCAGTTTGTAGTAGAGTAGAACATTTAATCACCATCATAATAGGACTCATTTCCATTTGCAAAACAACTGCAGATGAAAAAGCTAGCTAGCATATTCATAAAAGATACTCTTAGTTCTATTTAGGTAACCGACCAGTGGTTCCCAACCAGTGTTCAGTGGAGCACTAGTGTTACTAAGCATTTCAAAAGTGTTCCGGGTAAGGCCAGATTATCATAATAAACTATTTCATAATATATAACTTTATATTAATGTAGTCATATTTATAGTTTAATATTTAAAATTTCAATTTGATTAAATTACAGAATATTTTGATTGTCATTACATTAATTATGTTTTTTAGCATTGGCAACATGTTGATTATACTGTACATAGGGCAACTTGCAACGTTCTGACCCAACTGATATATCCAGATCGGTTTCACGTCAGAAGCAAGTTTGCACATCACATAAGATATGTGCATTTCTAAGCCACACATTTTTATATAAAATGTATGTGTCTTGAGCAGTCCAGATATTAATACCTTGCGTCATTTTTCATATATCAGACTAGTGTATTTCTCATCTAATTGCTGCAATCTCACTCCAAATTCTATTGCTGTTTGCTATTCTCTCCAACTACTAACAGAAGAATAGAAGGTCAGATATTTAGCTATTTTTGCTACAGTTTGTTTTTGTGTTCAAATGGAGATGGTATATCTGTAATGGTTATGCAGTTAAAATAATATTAACAACATTCTATTATTAAACAATTGTAAGTTAAGTAAATGTATATTTAATTATATTTTATGATAATTTTATACCTCTAAAAATGATGAATAGATTTATCATAAGGAAAAATAATTACGATACAAGTTCAATCGATGACAATGAGATTGAACAGGCAGCCAGTTAGTTTAAAAGCAATACCCAGCTGCTCAAAAAAACTTAAAATTAATCATCAGTAAATGAATGAATATATGAATTATGGTTTTACATGGCAAGTGATAAAAATTATTCAATATCATACATTGTGTATGTGGACTTAAACTTGCTAACTAGTGCAATGATTCCTGTAAAATTGAAATGACAGTTTATAACTCAGCATAAAATCTTACTTCAAAAGGAAAAGATTTTTGAGAGACTTTTAAATGTGAAAATAAACAAACAACATATTTCAAAAAATTGTGAAATTATCAGATAAAACTCAAATAGCATCACATAAAGAAGCAGAATTAGCAGCTATGAAACAATTATCACATATTAAAAGCCTAGATACTAATTTTACCCGCATGTTGTGAAATCTCTAGTACTTTGGGGAAAATGCAAAAAAAGTAATGAAACTATCTCTCTCAAATAATACTATTCAAATAAGAATAATTGATATTACATGTGACATTGAAGGCAGATTTGCAAGTAAACTTCACAATACATATTTTGCTTTTCAAATTGCTGAATCCATTGATATCAGTGAAAATGCCCTTTTACTTGGATTCGTTAGATTTATTAAAGAAAATACAATAGGTAATGAATTTTTATGTTGTAAAGAGTTTTCAGAAAGGACAACAGGAAAATCCATGTATAGCAAAATTAGTTCTTTCTTTGAACATTTAAATTTGACCTGGAAATAGTGTGTGAAAATTTGTAGTGATGGGTCTCCATCAATGGTAAGTTCAGTCCAAAGGATTTGTGATATTTGCACAGCAACAAAACAGTAAGATTTATTTCAGTGCTTCTTACATAGGGAGGCACTTATTGCAAAAACATTACCTGCAGAACTAGAAAGTGTTCTGATTAGCGTTGTTAATATTGTAAATTACATAAAGGTGAGACCATCAAAATCTCAACTTTTTAAATAACTGTGTTTAGTGATGGAAGCAAAATATGAAGGCTTACTTTTTCGTATAGATTTCAGATGGCTTTCTCGAGGAAAGGTGCTTTCCCATATGCTAGAACTAAAAAAGAATTACTTCTTTTCAATTCCATGCACAGAAAGCTAGAACTTCTTTAAATAAGTTTCACAAAACCTTTCACTCTTTTTCTAGCAGTAAGAAACTGCTAGAAAAAGAGTGAAAGGTTTTGTGAAACTTACTTTTTTCTTCAAACAAGAAAATATGTACTGTACTTCTCACAATATTTTAGTAATATGTGGTGTGCTAAATTGAGCTATTTAAGAGATATTTTAAATTATTTAAACACTGTCAATATGACTATGCATTGTGCAAATGAAAACATTTTAACATCAACAGGCAAACTATCAGCTTTCCATAAGATCATTTTTTCAAAAAAAAGAGTAAAAAAAATAATGTTAGCATGTTTCCATTTGTACACAACAATAGCACCAATTGTGTTTCTTTGATATCAGAACATTTATCAATATTGGACAACAACGTAAGAAAATATTTCCCTTCTCTGGACCAAACAAATATGATTAGGTTAGTAATCCATTTTCAACAGAAATACAGGCATACCTCGACTTACGTCGTTTTGAGTTACGTCGTTCCCGATTATACATCGTTTGTCAAAAAAGTATATGGAAAAATAAAAATCAAGTTTAAGTCATTTTATTCGACTTTACGTCTGTCCGCCACAAATATTGAAGTCGTAATATCACTATAAAAACGTTTAAAGCACATAGAATCATATTAAAATATATACTAGTATGTTCTGTATTTACAGTACATGCATTCGTAAATTTAGAATACTTTTTTTCTGTTCTATATTAAAAACTAAAATTTATTTGTTTGTAAGCTTAAAATTGATTTTTATTAACCATATATTATTAAAAATGCATTAATAAATAAAATACAGAACCGGGAATGGTAATTTATGGTTTAGCCTAGTGACAAGTAGATTCGGAGACAAGTAAATTCGACTTACGTTGTTCTCCTGGAACCAATTACCGACGTAAGGCGAGGTATACCTGTACATAATAATAATCTTGGATTTCATGTGCAAGGGGAAGAGGAGCTTATATTTTTGTCATTTAACCACACTTTGAAAATCAAGCACTCTGAAACAAATCTTGATGAATTTTGGATATCTGTCCAACAAGAATATCCACAAATATAAAAAAGCCATAAAAATTTTATTATGTTTTTTAACTTCATATTTATGTGAAGTAGGGTTTACCACATTAACCAACGTAAAAACTAAAAAAGAGACATATTAACAAATTTAGAGGAAAAAATCAGGGTGGCCTTATCTTGTATACATCCCAACATAGAAGAAATGAGTAAAAAAAATCAGGCAGAAGCTTCACATTAAATGAATTACTTGAGTAAAACTATTTTTTCTATAATTTTTTTAAATTATAATTTTTTCAATAAATATTAAAATATAAAAAACATTGATTTGAAATTGTAACTGTCTAATTTTAACAAAGAACTGATGATAAACTTATTTCATTTTAATTTAGGTAAGTGTTCCTCTTAACATTTTCTTCACAGAAGTGTTCCATACTGTAGAAAAGATTGGGTATCACTGTAATAGACAGTAGAAAACACACTTGTAACTTCATTATATTGTTCATGTTTTCTAACATAATCTAAATAAAACTAAGAGCATTTTTTTATAATAGATGTATATTCCAATATCTACTATCAGAATATGATTATGAATTCCTTTTATACATTAAGTTGATTTTATTTTCAAAACATCTCTAGATAAAAAATGATAATGTTATTCATTATGTGACAAAAGCATATAATATTGCCTCCTTATAGTTCTGATAGCCTTGTTGAGAAGAACAAAGTTCAAATTTCTTTCGCAATGCCTTATGAATGGGGTTTTCCCAATGTCTATATATCGCATCAAACTTCTGATAGGTTGTACCTCATTGTTACCGAAGCTAAAGTATCTCAACAAGGCTATCAGAATCATTATGTGACATTGTGAGGATTGAAATTTGAACTAATATTTATTAAAAAAGATAAAATTGTATTTTATAGTTTTTTAGAACACAGCTTCCAATTTTATTGCAATTTGTTCATTAAATTTTTTTCCATTCATTTTGATTCATTAGATTTTCATATTTATTGAATAAGAAAAGGTATAAACTTATATTTATAATAATGTAACATATGGTTATTTTTGAGCAAATATAAATTCATTTCCAATTAGAATAATTATTTTTTTAGTTATTAAATTTCAGTTTATGATATTTAAAAATAAAATTGTTTTTTTTTTTTAGAAGATATGCATCCCCCACTGGATGTAACTGTCAAGTCAATAACAGAACATTCCTTTACTTTATCATGGAGAGCATCTGATATTCAAAAACAAAAAAAATTAGTTGCATATTCCTTGACCTACATGCCAATAAAAAATTTTGGAAGTGGTAAGTAGTGTTAATAATATAATATATTTAATAAACTCTTGAACACCATAATCATTAATTACCGTATTATTATTATTATTATTATTATTATTATATTTGATGGTTTGTTCAAGTTATTTAATTATTTGAGTTAATTCAGATTCAACCACACACACATACACACACACACACACACACACACACACACACACACACACACTCTTGTGCACTCACTCACACTAGGAGTTTTTGACAGTCTAAACTCTGACATTTCACATTACTTTATGACACATGCATATCTATGTTGTAATTTATAATTTTCTAAACAATATTGATTATGTGATAATGCACAAAGTGCTCCCATACTTCCACACCACTTGATCGAAGGGTCGGCATCACATCCATGATGTCCACATCAGGACTAACATCATTGTTTCTTTAGGGAAGACACAGAAAACCATTTGACCATTAGTTTTTTCTTCCCATGAATGGTCGCATGTGAAGGCAGTCGGATTCAGGATGAAGGAGATCTAAGAGACTGCGCAACAGAAGGAATTGCACTCCACTACAGATTTAAACTAAACAAATACAATGGAATCACACTTAACAAGCATAATTTGTTCCAGAATCTTACTTGTAATGCTAAACACTCATTAAGTGAAACAATTTTTCCCATATAAATTCATGTAAAATATGATAATGCATTCCATGGTGAAAAAAAATACACAAATATTTTATGTATAATGTTTATTCAAAGAAAATTATAAAATATACATTGTTAAGGAGTGTGAATCATCATCTTTTCTTCTAGCACAGAATGAACCAAATAGCCTTTCCATAGCCCTAGAATTTGGCATATTGTTTGGCTTGTTATATAATGGGCTATGGTTATTGATGTTTATATGTAATATGTCTGAACACAAATTTTGAAAAATGTGTGATCACAAGCGACATTAAGATGCTAGCGGAACAAGTGCTAAACACAGACTGGTGTAACATGCATACAATCCAGGACTTCTTCTCTTCTCATCACTCATTATGAGAAGTGCTCGTTAACCGAGGTTCCACTGTACCAGTATTTACATAGGATTTTATATATTGATTACAATAAAGATCACAATAACGAGTCATTGTAAGCATATTGTAGCAGGTCTCTAATGCGAGAGAGAGAGTTTACACTCAGATGCCAGATGATAAATACCTGTTGTTGTAAGAATGTTGAGGAAGTCAGACACGTGAGGGTCAGGAGAAGATACGTTCCAATAAGAGAATGTATTTGACTCCTCTCAAGTAGGAGGATGAAACTGGCACTGTCAGGCAGGATCTGGATCAAGGCAGCGATCCACAGTAGTTGATATTGAAGTACAGTAGAGCATCGATTATCCAACTCAATTGGGGACTGGAGTTGGTCGAATAACTGAAAAAACGGATAACCGAAAGTTGAAAAAATACATTATTAGTATAGTATATTAGTATATCACTATTAGCCTACTTCGTGTTGAATTTTCATCGATGTTAAACCAAACTAAAATTTTTTAAAAATAATAATTGTCACTATTGAAAATTATTTTTAATTAATTTTTTTATTGCTCACAAAACAAACAACCACTCACAATTAGAAAATTAAGCCTTGTTTAAATACTGGCCTCCCTTTCATGGTCGAGCCAATGTTGCCAGTTAAAACACGCAAAAATTTAACAAAAATCATATGAAAGTGGCCAAGATATAGCCAAATGTTGCAGTGCCACGTCACTAGCGGACATTTGAATTTGCCGACTAGAACGCGGTCGGTTAACCGATGTGACTGAATGTGGTCGGTTAATCGGGGGTCGGATAATCGATGCTCTACTGTAATCTAGTTAAGGTATCTGACACCAAAAGGCTAGATGAACTCCAATGACGGGCAAACTGGAGGTAACAGTTGATTGGCAATGACGGATAAACTCCTTGTTGTTATATGATTCTCTCTTTTATTTGGGGTCCTCCCCTTTGTTCACATCTCTTTTTTGAAAATGTTAGGTTAGCTAATCCAATAGCGATTTTTGGATGTAGGTTCCTGATATATAATCAAAAGTGACACATTCAGATGTGTCATCTCTGGACAAGGAAGCAAGTTTGTGGGAAATAGAATAATTCCCTGTAGCTGTTTTATGTTAAGAAAAAATTTTCTAACACTTATTTGGTAAATTTTATATATATATAAAATTTACCAAATAAGTGTTAGAAAATTTTTTCTTAACATAAAACAGCTACAGGGAATTATTCTATTTCCCACAAACTTGCTTCCTTGTCCAGAGATGACACATCTGAATGTGTCACTTTTGATTATATATCAGGAACCTACATCCAAAAATCGCTATTGGATTAGCTAACCTAACATTTTCAAAAAAGAGATGTGAACAAAGGGGAGGACCCCAAATAAAAGAGAGAATCATATAACAACAAGGAGTTTATCCGTCATTGCCAATCAACTGTTACCTCCAGTTTGCCCGTCATTGGAGTTCATCTAGCCTTTTGGTGTCAGATACCTTAACTAGATTACAGTAGAGCATCGATTATCTGACCCCCGATTAACCGACCACATTCAGTCACATCGGTTAACCGACCGCGTTCTAGTCGGCAAATTCAAATGTCCGCTAGTGACGTGGCACTGCAACATTTGGCTATATCTTGGCCACTTTCATATGATTTTTGTTAAATTTTTGCGTGTTTTAACTGGCAACATTGGCTCGACCATGAAAGGGAGGCCAGTATTTAAACAAGGCTTAATTTTCTAATTGTGAGTGGTTGTTTGTTTTGTGAGNCAAAGATGGCAGTGCTACAGCACTGGCGAAAATTTAAATTTGCTGACTGGAATTCTTTCGGATAATCGACGCTCTACTGTATTTAATAAAGAACTGATATATTCTGGTAATCATAATTAGACCCATCTGAAATATTTTTTGGTAGAATTCTTGCGTAGATTTGATGGCTGACAAGGTGGAAATACCAGTCTGTTCTCTAAGTTTGGAGCAACCCTTGCACAAACTAATTATATGATATACAGAAATTTGGTCATTACACAGCCTACACTGTTTATTCCTGATATCCAAATAATTCCCTTCAACTATAATATAAAAACTGTTTAGTCTGATCTGCATATAAAATCTTTTCATCCCAAATGGTATTTTATAATGAATATAATTATTTGCTGGAGGGAAATTTAAATTAACTATATACCATGGGTGAAATTTTGACTCCTGTAAATTTTTCATCTCACGATCAATTGAATTATTATACATATTTTCCACCAATAAAGAAATTCCTAATTCCAGTCTGTTTCTGTACTGTAAAATAGTAAATGAGACAAACCATAACTTTCCAATTTGATCCTAAGTTTGTTATACCAATTGTTTTGATAATTCTTTTTGTTCTCTGCCAAGTTCTTTAAAACTCTTAGTATTGTATTAACCTGTATGTTCTCACTAGTTAACAGTCTCTTAAGAAATTTCATGGTCCTAATTACCAAGTAGGGTTCTAATAACAATCTGTTAGTATCATGGCGAATCGCATATCCCAGCACTGCTTTATCTAATCCGTAAATTTTTCTTATAAATAGCAATTGAATTTTTTTTAAAGTAGGATAACCAGTCCAGACCTCATAATGGGAGAGCATAGCAAATAGAGTTGAAAACCAGTGCTGAAAAGAGTCAAAACTGCATTTGAATAGAATTGGTTTTCATTTTTACTAATAAACTAATTAAATTATTAATTATTCTATATGCTTTGGTCTTTGTCCGCTGAACGTGTTTTCCAAAAGACAACGTTGAGGTAATAAGAACCCCCAAATATAATATTTCCTCAGTTACTTTCAACTTTTCGTTCAACAAATAAAAATCATGATCTTGCCTCGCCAACTTACCTCCCTTTCGAAACACAATAATATGGGTCTTATTTGGGTTGATCTTCAATCCCATCTTCGAAAAGTATCTCTGAGTTACATTTAATTTTCTTTGTAGACCTATTTTAGTCGGTGAAATCAATACCATATCATTGGTGTATTGTATCGAATGAACTATCAAATTGTCCCTAATAATAATTCCATCCTCCTCCTTCATAAATTGATCATCTAAGTCATGGATCATAAAGTTGAATAAATAGGGTGATAACAGATCACCTTGTAGTAAACTGTCACATATCTCGAATGGAAGGTAAGTATTTAGGCCACTTTTAATTGTAATAGTGTACTGACCAAACAAAGACCTTATTACCCTTGTAAATGTTAAGTCTGCTCCATGGTCTGCCAATTTATCACATTATTTATCTATAGAAATAGAGTCAAATGCTTTTTCTTGATCTAAAAAGGCCACATATACCTTTCGTCTTTTTTTTAGCAAGGTGAATTTGTATGGTTGAAAGCAATATAAATACAGTAGATCCCCCTATAAGACGGTAGATACGTTCCGTTCTTTATGAATCAATTTTGTAGGAATCATAGTTTACGGACTACGGCTGTTTGAAAGGTTTTCTTTCATAAAATTAATCGATTCTAGACTAATTCGACTCAACATTTCCAAAATACGTATATTTTTTTTAAAATAATCCGTATAAACTACGTTATAAACAAAAAATTGTAGGATTACTTACCGAGTGTGTACCCTTTGACTACGCTCGTTGCTAAAGCTTGGTTTCGTCGCGGAACAGCGCATCAAATTGCGGCCGCGATTTCTGATATTATTTTTCTGCGAAAACTTCGTTGACCTTTGGAGACATCATTAATATAAATAATTTTTATGGCCGTTAAATAAGAAATGTTTCTTTCACAAGAAATGTATAAAATTACAGTACTAAACAGACGATAGGTCGCCTAACTCGCCGTAGCGTGACGCTAGACGGCGAAAAATATATATTTAATTATAATAAAGTTACAATAAATTAAGTTAATATATAATTATATATACAGTACCTAATTTATATATAATTAATATATAATTATATGTACAGTACCTAATTTATATATAATTTATATAATACTGTCCAGA